GCTTCCAGGGGCACTGATTTCAACAGTGGGGTGCACAGTGTGTCACCCTAAATGGGCTCCCCTGGTCAAAAGTGGAGCCCACTGCAAGGCATTGCCTTCCCTCCTTTTATGGGACGGGGTATCCCTCACCTCCTACCCTGAAGCAATCTCCCAGAGGGCTTTCTCCCTAGTCAAAGACGCCAAAACCCTTTTAAAACTCAGCTGCTTGGATGACTATCTCAAAGCCATAAAGATGGGTGTCTTCATCTAGATGGAGAACCTGGGCCTGGAGAGGAAGCGCTCACATGGACTGCTGCAGGACAGGGGACAAGGAGATAAGAGCACTGGACTGTGCCCCTGCTCTCTCTGCATCTAGGAGTGGATGCAAACAAAGAAACAAAGAAATTCAAGCCTCACCTCTAGAGAATGCCATGAGTGAAGAGCTTTCTGGCCAGGCCAGCTTTGTCTGCTGTGGCTTGTCCTGGATCCTTAAGCCATCCCTGGGTGTTTGGGTGTGGCCTGAAGTGCCACAGCCTGGATAACTCTTTGTGGACACAATTATCTCTCACAGATCTGGAGACCGGAAGTCACAAGGGGCTTACAGGACTGGTGTTGGGTAGGGTCCCTTTCTAGATCATAAATGGGGCCTTGAATGTGTCCTTCTATGGTCAAGGAGTGAGGCATCTCTCTGGGTCTCTTCTATAAGGTCATGAATCCTACCCACGAGGCCCTACCCTTGAGACTAAATCATGCCTTGAACACCATATATCTTCTTGGGAATAAAGATTTCATATCAGTTTTCGGGGAGTGGGGAACTAACATTTAGAGCCCAGTACAAATGAAGTGCCCTATCAAGAAAGGGCCAGTCTCTATGCCTGGCTGTCACCCTGTGGTCCTGCCTTTCACACCAAAAATTGTGAGAAGAAAGTAAAGAAAAGTGGAATAAACCAGTCTGAGAAACTGAACTGAGCCACATGTAGCAATTAGTTGTCAAAAACACAGGGCATAAATAGATGTTCTCTTTTGGCAACTTTTCTAGGTCAGTGGGTATTTTAAGCTGCTGAAGGAAAAGTGTAAATTTTATTAAGTGACTGGGACAACAGGAGCATAGAATATTAAAATCTCCATGTTTTTATCTTCAGCTTCTAAGTAAACTTCAGGTCAATGGCTCTTTAAAAAAAAAAATCTAAAACTCAATATAGTTTTCTCTATGTTCTGTGGAAATAGATGGCCATGTTACTGCATGAAACCCTCCAGAAGAGCATACATGGCAATCCCACATCTCAAGCACTAAGTGTTGGGCCAGCACATGCACCTGGAAGAAGTTGTAGCCTTGTCCTCAGCTGACCTGCAGGGAAGAGGACTCAAGGACCCATCGCCTATCCTCCTCTTCACAGGTAAATGCAATTTGCCTACCACAAAAGCCTAAGCGGGTAAATGGCTTTCATTGAGGCTTTTAGAATAAGGAAAAAAAAGAAAACCCTCCTATTTCACTTTTCTGCAAATTATGAAACTGAGCCCCGGATTAGGCTGATGCCATCTTAGGGGCTCATGTAAGCTGTATTATCCAGTCTTCTGAAGAACTCTCCACTGAACTTTTCTGTGAGTGTATGTGCGGGTGTGAGTGTGTGTGCATGTGTGTGTGTGTGTGTGTGTGTGTGTGTGTGTGTGTGTGTGTGTGTTGGTGGTGTTGTTGCTGTGGCCATTGCTAGTCGTGGATTCAGGACCTCTTAGGCAAGCACTCTACTCCCAAGCTGCATCTTGTGTTGGATTACAGCAGAGACACGGTCAGAGCAGCACATGAGAAACTAACTCAGTGCTGTTCTTCAACAAAGCCACATAGGAGACGTTAACCCTACACCACAGCTCTAGGAAAGGCTGTATTTCTGGGCTGTTCTTGGATTTTCATACAGACAGACGCTAAGAAGCATACTACTGATAGTCTTTCTCCTTACCTCTTGATTTTGAGGAGAAAATACTGAATCCTGACCTCACTTTCAATATAGAAACAGGGTGCAGTGGGGGTGACCAGAGTCAGGGAAGTGGGGAAGGGAAGTGGAGGATGTTAGCCAGGACACATCAGCCAAGACACACAGCTTCCGCCCAACAAGACGAGTGCATTCTAAAGATCCAATACACAGCAACAAGCTCTCATCAGTAAGTCTGCTCTATGCAGAAATGTGCTGAGCAATCTTATGCGTTCTTATCATCACAAAAAAAACACTGCTGAGTGGCTCACTGAGTGTGCAGGTCCTGGCACCGTGCCTAAGTCAAACAAAAGGATTCCTGTGAGGGCAGTGACAACAAAGAAGCATGAGCCACTGCTCTTCTGTGTTTTTGCAAGCTTGTTCGCTTGTTCTCCTCAGAGAAGCTTCTTTTTTGAGCAGGGGTTCCCTGAAGCGTATAGAACCCAGGAAGAACATGAAAAGCACACATTTCTGACGTGGCCTTTGGAGACACCTGGGAATGGTTAGACTGATCATAGGAAGGGTAGCAGGATGACAGCCGGTGAGGATGAGATTTGTGAGCACAGTCCAGGAGGAAGAGCACTGGTCCAACAGGGATGAGACCATCTTGTATATGCTGGACTCGATGCTGCGCAGGATCTGGCAGCTTTTGACAGAGCCAGGTAGGGATGCCAATAACACCGTTTCATTCACCTGGAGCAACAGAAGCCGGAGGCCAAGCCAGGGTTCTTACCCGGCATGAACATGTTCTGGACTAGGCTTGGAACCCCAGGCAATACTTCTCCCTGTTACATCACCTGCTGCCCCAAAGCACGCACACACACACACACACACACACACACACACACACACACACACACACGGCACCTCTAGTGTCCAGAAGCAGAAACACTACTGGGATTCTGTGTCAGATCCATGACGTCAAGAGAAAACAAGCTATACCCATATTTTGAGAAGAGAGCTGCCAACGTGTGAGTGTTCACAATGTAGGAATCAAACACTATGAGCTCCCAAAAGGTAACAACTGTTAGCAATTGTTTAGTTTTGATGTTCATTCAGTGTCATTTACATGCGCTATGAAGGGAAACAGTCTGAATTTGTGAAAATTGTGAATCACTGAGATATTTTGTAAATGTGGCTTATGGTTTTTAGGCCCACACAATGAAACTAAGCGTTCATGAATTGTTGAGTCAAGGCTTTATCCACAATACCTTAAGGACCAAATTTTTTCTTGCAAGTCTCATATTAAGATGTCTTATTACAAATAGATCTTGCCAATGTATTTGAAAACAGCTCGCTGTCTTATCCATTCACCTTATTAAGATGTTCAGCAACAGTTTTCTCCATAAGAACACACACAATCATACTAGACATTAGACACTTACTATGAGAAAGCATGACACTAGCATGGCCTCACCTCATTTCCTCCTCGAAATCGTGAGACAGACTTTTTTTTTTTTTTTGGTGGGGGGAACAGATGCTGACTCCCCACAGATACTTGGGCTTCTAAGAAAAACTGGCAATTTGCACATCACATCCACACACGTCACATCGGCTCAAGATCCCCGAGAACACCAAACACGCAGTTGTTAGGCTGCATTTGTCAGGAAAAATGAGTCCAAAATCATCTCTACATATTTAGCACAGATGTGGCCTCTTGGGTATTTTCAGTCCATGTTGATTGAATCTGTGATGTAGAACCCATGGATTCAGACAGAGTCACAAATATCTACATGAAAGATGAAAGGGAAGCTTAGGAGAGATGAAAAAAACCACTCATAGTTCAGGATATGCTCAGAATCCATTCTATCCAACAAAGCAAAGATGAACTCATCAGCAGTCTGTGTGAATGGGGCCCAAATTAACAGAGCTTGTGACTAAACATAAACTTTTATTATAGAGTCTTTGGAATTGGAACTTCCTAAAGTTTATATTTTTTTGAGATCTCATTTATTTATACCTACAAGACAACTCACATCAATAAATGTTGCTAATGGTCTCCAGTAGCCCAGGCTAGCCTCCAACTTGCTATGTAGCTTAGGGTGACTTTGAACTTCTGTTCCTCCTGACTCTGCCTCTTGAGTGATAAGGTGACAGGTGTGGGCCACCAGAACATTGCACATTCCAGGCACTTCACTACCTGAGCTGTACTCCCATCCCATAGCAATGAACTTTGACAAATGCATGCAGTCATGTGACCACAGTGAAATGTCCTTTCCAGGCCTCTGTGGCCAGTGTGTCATCCTTCAGCCTGGACCTCACTGACAGAATGTATACTATGTGGTGTTGGGACTGTTTTGTTTTTTGTTTTTTCACTTCGCCTGACAGTGTTGAGATGCCCCTGTGTTGCACAGACCTTTAGCTTGGGCCTTCATTTGTGGAAGTGGAATACAACGTTTATCTTTGCACAAGCTGATAGACATTTCAGGTGACTCTGGATGTGTGTGTGTGTGTGTGTGTGTGTGTGTGTGTGTGTGTGTGTGTGTGTTAAGTAAAACTACCATAAATGTCCACATGGAGGCATCTGGTAGACATAAATTTTAGGTCAATGTCTAAGAATTATTAGATATTATGCTCAAGGTAAGTGGGTACTTACCTTTGCAAGGTACTTCCCAATTGTTTCCCAAAGTAGCTATGCCATTTTGTATTCTCACCAACCATGAAAACAGTCCAGGATATCATGCTTCTGTCAGATTTAATATCATTCAATATTTTAGTTTTAGCCACTGCAATAGCCATATAGTACAATCTCATTATGTTTTTAATTTGCATTCCCTAAATTATTAATGTTAAACATCATCTGTGTTCTTCTATCCTCCTCTCTCAAAAATCTTTCTTCACCTGCCCATCAATAGTCCCTTTATAATTTCCTGGATTCTACATGAACTCAAAGTCAAACCTGCAAATCTAAAGATTTGATACTAAAGATCCCCATATGAGTGAGAACATATGTCTTTCTAGGTCTAGATTAGCTCACTCAGGATTGTGTTTTCTGGTTCTGTCCACTCACCTACAAATTGCATTCTCCTATACAGCTGAATAAAATTCTATCGTGATGGAACCTGCAGAGCCAACCAGGTAGACAAATGAGAAAACATCTTTTGTCTGCAGAGGGCAACAATCCTACACAAACATGAGCTCTCTGGTCAGTCTTCTCCATAAACTTTTTAAACTGCCACTGTAAATATTGTTTTCCTATTATTTAGTTCAACATCTCTGCTGATTACTTGTACAGATTTTAAAAGCAAACAAAAAATAAAATCAAGTAAAGCTACTTCAACAAAAACAAGAAAGGAAGGAAGGAAGGAAGAAAGGAAGGAAGGAAGAAAGGAAGGAAGGAAGAAAGAAGCAAGGAAGGAAGGAAGGAAGGAAGGAAGGAAGGAAGGAAGGAAGGAAGGAAGGAAAGAAAGAAGGAAGGAAGGAAGGAAAAGAATTCCACTGTGAATAGATACTGTATTTCCATTATCCATTCATCAGTTGATGGACATCTACTCTGCTCCTATGTCCTAGCTACTCTGACTAAAGCATCAATTAATATGGATGAGCAGGAATCTCTACAGCAGGAAATAGTCCTTTGAGTATATGGCCGGAAGTGGAATGGCTGGGTCAGACAGTAGATCTATTTCTAGTTTTCTGAGGAACTGCCACACCATCTTTCACAGAGGCCACACCAGTTCGCACTCTCACCAACAGTGCATGAGTGTTCCCCATTCTCCAGGGCCTTAGCAGTGTTTTTGTTTTTTAATCTTAGCCATTCTGCCTGGAACCCAGTGAAATCTCAGAGAGGTTTTGTGTTTCCTTAATGGATACAGATGAATACTTTAAAAGTCCTTCTTAGTCATTTGCATTTCTTCTTCCAAGAACTCTGTTCATTTCAGTAGCCCAAATTTTAATTTAGTGTTTAGGAGTTTTTTTTTTTAAGTTCTTTTTATATTGTAGACATCAATGCTCTGTCAGATGTATGGCTGGCAAACACTTTTCACCCAGTAGGCTACCTCTTCAGCCAATTAACAGTTTCGTTTGCAGTGTAGAAGGTTATTAACTTGATGAAGTTCCACTTGGTGTCTGTTGGCTCCATTTCCTGGGTGATCAGAGTCCTCCTCAGGAAGTCCTCATATGAGCCTGTACCTTAAATGCACTCCCTAGTCGTTCTCCCAGAAGTTTCAGAGTTTCAGATCTAACATTTGAGATCTTTGATCCATCAGGAATTTGTGTGCAGGGTAAGAGAAGGATCAAGTTTCGTGAAGGTAACCAGTTTCCCAATGCCATTTATTATGGTATCTTATTTCTAATGTGAAAAAAAAAAAGTGGCTATAAGCAAGTGTACTTATATCTAGGTCCTTGAATCTATTCCACTGATCAATGTCTCCATTTTTCTGCCAGTACCATGTTGTTTTTATTACCATGACTTTGCAGTATAACTTGAAATTAAGAATGGTGGTGCCTCCTTAGGGTCCCCCTTGTTACTTAGCTTCTTTCGGCCTGTGGATTGTAGTATCGTTATCCTTTATTATATAGCTAATATCCACTTACAAGTGAGTATATACCACTCATGCCTTTCTGGGTCTGGGTTACCTTACTCAGGATGTTTTTTTTTTCCAGATCCATCCATTTGCCTGCAAGTTTCATGATGTCTTTGTTTTTAATCCTGGAATAATATTCCAGTGTGCACATGTACCACAGTTTCTTTATCTATTCTTCGGTTGAGGGACATCTGGGTTCTTTCCAGTTTCTGGCTACTATGAATAAAGTCACTGTGAATGTAGCTGAGTAAATGTCCTTGTTGTACGGTGGAACATATTTTGGATATATGCCCAGAAGTGGCCTAGCTCTGGATCTTGAGGTAGAGCTGTTCCCAATTTTCTGAGAAAGCACCACTTTGATTTCCAGAGAGATTGTTTAAGTCTGCACTCCCACTAGCAATGGAAGAGTGTTCCCCTTTCTCCACGACATTGCCAGCATGTGCTCTCACTTGAGTTTTTGTTCTTAGTCATACTGATGAGTGTAAGATGGAATCTCAGAGTCATTTTGATTTGCATTTCCCTGAAGATTAAAGATGTTGAGCATTTCTTTAAGTGCTTCTCAGCTATTTGAGATTCCTCTGTTGAGAATTCTTTGTTCAGCTGTGTACCCCATTTTTAAGTTGGATTATTCGGTTTGTTGGTGTTTAATTTCTTGAGTTCTTTATATATAGATAAAGATATTAGCCCTCTTTCAGAGGTAGGATTGGTGGAGATTTTGGCCCAGTCTGTAGGCTTTCACTTTGTTCTACTGACAGTGTCCTTTGCTTTAGAGAAGCTTTTCAGTTCCGTGAGGTCCCAGTTATTTATTGATGATCTTAGAGCCTGAGCTATTGGTGGATGCTTAATTCTCATTCAGAAGGGCAAATAAAATAGACACTGGAAGCAGTTAAAGAGAGGGAACAGAACAGGAGCCTACCATAGAAATCCTCTGAAAGATTTCTGAAATCCTCTGAAAGAAATCCTCTGAAAGCAGGGGATCAAAGCAGATGCGTAGACTCAGCCAAACTTTGGGCAGAGTGCAGGGAGGCTTATGAAATAAGAGTGGGGTGATAGAAGGACCTGGAGAGCATAGGAGCTCCATTAAAAACAAACAAACAAACAAAAAACAAAACAAAACAAAAAACAGAGCCAACAAATGCAGGCCCAGAGGGCCCTGCAGAAACAACTGACGCACCAACCAAGGGCCATGCATGAAGAGAACCTAGGTCCCCTGCTCAGAGGTAGCCATTAGGCAGCTCAGTCTCCATGTGCACGGCCTAGTAAAGGGACCAGGGGCTGTCTCTGATATGGACTCTGTTGCAGGCTCTTCTATCATTTCCCCCAGGGAAGGTGGTCTTGCCAGGCCTCAGAGAAGAGGATGCAGGCAGTCCTGAAGGGATTTGACAGTCTGAGGTCAGTTGATAAGAGAGGAGGGCTCCTCACTTCCAAGAACTGGTGGGGAGAGAGGAAGGAAGGGTGGGAGAAGATGATGGAGGGGGCTACAGCTGGGATGTAAATGAAATAAATTAAAAATAAATTTTAAAATTTCTAGTTCTGTTGCTTTCCTTGTGGAGTTCCTGTCCTCTCCAGATCTTACTATTTCCCACTTCTTTCATAAGATTCCATGCACTCTGCCCAACAGTTGGCCATAAGTTTGAACACAGGGGTCTTTCCAGTGTCTCATACTCCAACCAAGTACCATGCATGGAGATAACCTAGAACCCCTGCACAGATGTAGCCCATGGCAGTTCAGTGTCCATGTGGCTTCCATAGTACTGGAAAGAGGAACTGCCTCTGACATGAAGTGATTGGCCTGCTCTTTGATCACCTCCCCCTGAGGGGGGAGCAGCCTTACCAGGCCACAGAGGATGACAATGCAGCCACTCCTGATGAGATCTGATAGACTATAAGATCAGAAGGAAGGAGAGGGGGATCTTCCCTATTAGTGGACTTGGGGAAGGGCAGGTGTGAAGAAGGGAGAGGAAAGATGGGATTGGGAGGGGAGGAGGGTGGGGTTTATGGGGGGATACAAAGTGAATAAAGTGTAATTAATAAAAAAATTAAAAATTATAACTAAAAAAATAAAATTAATTAAAAAAATGGTGATGTTTTGAGCATAGTTCGTATCGTTCAGGATTGTTTTGACTGTCTAGGGTCTTTTGTGCTTCAATATGAATTTTTAGATTGATTTTTTCAATTTCTTGGAAGAATTACACCAGAATTTTTTGAGATTGAAACAAATCTGTAGATTGATTTTGGTAGATGGCCATTTTCACAGTATTAACCCTACCAATCCATGTGCATGGGAGGTCTCTCCATCTTCTAATGTTTTCCTCGGTTTCTTCAGTGTTTTATACTTCTAATTGTATATGTCTTTTATTTCCTCGGGTGGGTTTGTGTGTGTTGTGGGTGGGGGAGGTTGTTTGGGTTTTTGTTGTTTTGTTTTTTGTTTTGTATTGCAAATAGGATTGTTTCCTTGATTTCTTTCTCAGTCTATTTGTCGTTGGTATATCGGAAGGCTACTGAATATTTTAACTTTGTGACATACCATTTTACAGAAGTGTTTACTCGCTCCAGGAGTTTCCTGGTGAAGCCTATAGAGCCTCTTGTGTATGGGGTGCCAACATCTGAAAATAGGGATACTTTGACTTCTTCATTTCAGTATGTTTTAATATTTTTAAAACAAATACCCAGTTGCTCAAACACCCTTTGTTGAAAATATTACTCTTTTCCCAGTGAAATACCTGATGTCTGTGTAAAAATCAATTGACCACAAAGTCAGGAGTCTGTTTATTCCATTAACTGATGCGTTTATTTTCATGCCAATAGCAAACTGTCTTAATTGCTAAATCTCTATGCATGATCTTAACATGCTCACTATGGGTTTGCCCACTTCATTCTTGCTTAGCAAAGTTGTGGCTATCTGAATCCTTTGCACTTCCACACAAATGCAAGAGCCACTTTAACACATTCTATGAGAAGTGCTACAGTTTTAACTTGTGGTGTACTGGGTCTCAGGATCTCTTTGAAAAGGCAGGGCCTTCACATGTGAGTTTTCTAAACTCTAACATGAGAATTAAAAAAAAAAAAAAAAAAAAAAAAGCCGGAGTGGCTCCACCAGCTTGCAGTCTCACTAACAGTGAATGATGTTTCTTTTCCCACAGCCATGGCAGCATTTACTGTCCGTTTGTTTTGTTGCTCTTACCCACTCTGGCTGAAGCAAGATGAAATCCTCTCAGTACATCTTCCTGGTTGCTGAAGATGTCAAGCACTTTCTGAAAAATTTATTATCCATTTTCTTTGTTTTGGTTTTGTTTGGTTTTTTGGTTTTTTTTTTTTTTTTTTTTTTTTTTTTTTTTTTTTTTTTTTTTTTTTGTTTTTTTTTTTTTTTTTTTTTTTTTTTTTTTTTTTTTTTTTTTTTTTGGATAATTTTCTGTTCAGATCCATAGCCTATTTTTTTTAACTGGGTCATTTATTCTTTTAACTGATTTATTTAGTTATTTATATATTCTGTACAGTAATTTTGTCAGATATATAGCTGGCAAATATTTTCTCCCACTTTGTAGGCTTTTCACTCAGTTCATTGTTTTCTTGACTACACAAAAGCATTTTAGTTATTTGAGATTCCATTTGTCAGTTACTGGCCTGTCCCCTTATTTGTAG